TGGGGGATCCGGCGGTTAGTGGTGATTTGTTAATGGTTATGAGGGGGAGTCGTGGTGGTGGTTTTGAAGTTGAATGTTATAGTTTATTGGAGGTTGTGACGGCGGAGACGGTGAAGTGGCGATGCTGCTTTCGATTGGTGCCATGGTGTACTGTGGTTGGGTGGTGTAGATGGTGGTAGTGTTGGTGGTGATCGGCGATGGCTACGTTGATGGCGTAGGGTTGGGGATTCTTTTTTGGGTTGTCGGATGCGAGGGGGGTTGGTGGTGGAGGTTCTGTGTTTTCAGTGGTGGAAGGTGCGGTGGTTGTGGGTGGGGGTGGTGGTAGTCGTGTTGATGTCAGTGGTGGTGGGCAATGGCGACATTGATGGCAGTAGGATTGGAGATTTTTTTTTGGGTTGTGGGATGGGAGGGGGTTGGTGGTGGAGGTTTCATGTTTTTAGTGGTGTAAGGTGCGGTGGTTGTGGGTTGGGTGGTAGTGGTCGTGTTGATGTCTGTATTTTTAGATGGTTTGTTGTCGGGAGATAGTGGTGGTGGTTCCGGCGACAGGGTTTCGATCGCCATGTTGTTAGTGGCATTCGAGAGATGGTAGTCACAAGTGTTTGGTGGCGGTCACATATTATTTGGTTAGGTTGTTGAAACAGTGTGATGGTGGTCACAAGTGTTGGTGATGGTCACAAGTGATTTGGTTGATTGTGACCAATAAAAAATATGCGACCAATGAAATAGATAAATTGTGGTCAATATATACTGTGTGACGTAAAACTTTATTAATTTTTGATAAAAAAAAATGATAAATTGTGACCTAAATATAATTTGAAATCAATTAATTTGATGTTTTGTGATAGTAAAAAAAATTTGTGACTTATAAAATTTGTGACTTGTGACCAATAAATAATATGTGATTATTAATTTGATAGATTTGGGACCGATGAATAAATTGCGATGTACAAATTTTTGATTTGTGATCGATGAACAAATTGTGACTTATAATTTTTTTTGAATTGTGAGATATGAAAATTATGATTTGTGATCGATTAATAATATGTGATCAATTATATGAAATTTGTGATCAAAATATATGAAATTGTGACCTTAATATATTTAATTAATAAAATATATGTATAATTAATTAATTTATAAATAAAATTTAAAAAATTCTAAAATTTGAAATTTTAAACATAATATCTTAAATTTGAAATTGGTAAAACTAAACGTCTTAGTTATGAAATCTTCCCATCAAATTAACCTGAGAAATTGTGGGAAAAAAATTCTTTCTGTGTTACTCAATTAGGGGTCTCATGGATTTTTTTTTCTTCCAATTTTTTCAAATATTGAGAGAAGAAGAAGAAGAATAGCCAAATAAGTGACTTCTAAATCCTGGGAGCATTCTGAAGAGACTCTCTATTTTTAAAAAAACATATATTATAGTTTATAGAGTGTTTATAAATTCAGAAAGTAAAATTTTTTAAATACGCCAGCATGCTCTTTATATTTAACACTTAATTTTATTACTTCAAAAAAAATATTTGTATTGATAAAAAATTAGATTTTAATTTAAGTCAAAATCAACAATAAATTTTAATCACATATTTTAAGGGTCCCACAATTTTTATCAAAATATTCTAAAAATCATATTTTAATCCCCACCAAATAAGGCCTTATTGTTTTTCCCTATCTTTTATTTTCATTAAGGGTCTGTTTGATATCCTAGAAAATTGGTGGAAAAGAAAAATATTTTCTAACTTTAGCCAATTAAGGG